TAACGGTCTTAGACCAGGGTTTCTCAGCTTCAGCACTGTTGACTTTTGAGGCTGGAGAATTCTTTGTTGTGGGGACTATTCTGTGTATTATGGGAATGATCAGCAGCATCACTGACCTCTACCTGATAGATGGCAGTAGCACTTCTCTCCCCCAAGCTGTGACAACCAAAAATGTTTCCAGACATTGCCAAATGTAAGAGCAAAATAGTTCCTGGTTGAAAATCACTGTCTTAGATAGAAGTCCTAATAAAATATCTCAAAAATCTCATGTGTGCACCTCTGCTTCCATATCAAAGGGCTGCCTTGGACATGGTATATAACCCCAATGCAGCATCTGTCCACGGTGTCTGCCAAAATGCCTTTCGACAGCGCCATTTTAGGCATCACACTATTTAAAGGCCTCACGAACTCAGAACTGTGCTTTTACAGGCTTCATTATTTGGTTTTTCAGGATTAGAAACAGCAGTTTAGAAAAAGGTCTGGAGGTTTCTGCTAAAGGCATGGAAAACCCTAAGAAATGTTCTACCACTGACAATAGGGGGGAGAAGGCAAAAGAACAATAAAAGTAGAGACATGTGGGGCCACTTAGCAAAGGGATACAAGGACTTACACATATCAGTAACCCCAGAGGACATTAATGTACCAGCACTGCTCTCTGCCTGAGATCTACAGAGACAGGCAAGGGTAGGGAACGGATGCTACTAGATGTCAGAAAACCTGCATTCCAGTCAAGCTATGTGTCTTCAGAAAAGTCACTGAACTTGTTAGAATTTCTCATTTTCTCATTAGGGAAAATGATCTGGCTTTTATCAAAAATTTCCTTAGGGATCCTTCCAGGATACAATTCTGTGGCGTTACAAAGATCCAAGCTGTTTAAGAAATGGCTAAACTCTGTTGAATGAATTTTGCCTAGGAAGGCAGGGAAACATAGAGTTCTAGAAAGATTTCCTTCAAGACTGGTTAGGTTTGTTTTAAAATTTAGGTGACCAAAGAAGCTACAATTGTCAAGCAAGTTTCTAATGGATTTTAAAGGTTACTTTGTGTATAGGAACTGAGTAGCGACCATCAATTCCATTCTGGTACAGCAGTGAGCATGCACCTGCATAATTTTATATGTATATGTATAGACACATACATACATGACTATATTTAGTTACTTGAAATTGAAAATGAAGAATATGTCCCTGTTCAACCACCTTCCTACAAGTAATAATGATTTTTCCTATATGCATACCTTCTTAGTGAGGGAAGGTCATTAGCATGATAAATATCCCATACTAATTACCGTAACCCTGAAAAAGGACCCATGAAGCTTCTCAAATCTTATTCCCATTTTTTGTTTCCCATGCCTGAGCTCAAATTATGACATGCTCTCTCACACTGAATGGACTGCAGGGAAATGGACAGGGTGAACTCTGCCTTGCTCCAAGCTGGTTAAAAGAAAAGTCCCTGTGGGATCTGTGCATGGCCTTCCTCTCCAGCATCCATGTGTGGATTCCTCTGATGTAGCACTGGGCTGGCTAATGCATCTGTGTGCAGTTCAGCAGCTGCTCACCTGGGGGTCACATCCCTCCCCAATTTTGTCCTTCACCCCTGCTGCTGCATCCTAACCATAGAGCCAAGGGCAATGGGTGGGTGGTCCCAACAGGCCTCCCATTCCTACCTGGGCCTCGCCCAGCATCTTGAAGCCCTTACAGAAGTGATCTCTGGGATCAGAGAAAGAGGTCTTGGGGTTGTGGAGTGGGCAGTGGCAGGACAGTAGAATGATGGAATTTCTGGGGGGACCACAAAGCAAAGCCCCTCATTATCTTGCCAGCTAGAATCCCTAGACCTTACTTTGGAAACTGAAAACAACAATGATAATAATAAGAGCAACTGAAAAGGCTACTGAGTATGAGTGCTCCCTATGTACTAGGTGCCTGGCCTGCATTCTGTCATTCAGTCTGCAGAACCACCTCATGAGCCATATTCGGTTATGACCTGCTTTTACAGACAAGGAGAGAAAGGCTCGGTGAGTCTAAACAGCTTGCTGAATTCAGGGTCAGAATTCAAATCCAGGTCTTTCTGACTCCAAACTCCACACAACCACCCCACCACAATGCCATCCTAAAAGAAAGGCAAAGCCGAACCTGCTCCTCTGTTTACACGTTGAAGAGACCATCTTCCTCCTTACTCCCTATGATAAATATGCAGTACGTCGTCACACTTCTTACAGTCACTGAACTCTTTCCGTGCTGATGGCCTCTTACAGTGATGGCAAATCTGAGGACAGGGGCTGTGCATGATTTACTCACCCCTGCCTAACACAGGACCTGGCACAACAGTAGGAGCTCAAAATGTGTATGTTTAATGAATAAGTAATGAAACCCCAATAATTAGCTCTGGGAACGAAAAGTAAATGCAAGCTTACACTTTGCTGGCTCCACCATGAAAGACATTAAGGACAGCAGCTCTCTTAATAAGTGAGCCACAGAACCAAAGCAAGTACGTTTGCCTACATGGAAGGACAGTAGCAGAGACACAGTCTTACTACAAGGCAGGAGCTCTGTCCTCCGCAAAAAGCTAAAAAAGCAAAGAAATCAAGCCTTTTTGTTCCGTGGAAACTTTCTGAAGGAAAATACCCAGAGAAAAAGGAAATGTAAAAAATTGCGTCTGAGCAGAACCCTCAGTCCCAGATCCACACACTGCCTCAGAGCTCAACAGCAGACCCGAAACCCTTATGGAATCCTGCGAACGAGAAAGTCCCACTTAGTTAAGGGCAGGTACTGGAGGTTCTGGCACAGGGTGAGGAGCTCTGTGGCCTCCCCTTACCTTTCTCCTACCCGAGGTACCTCCTCAGTAGCTTCATCACTTTTTCACTCTTACAGCTCCCCACAATTCCTTATACACACAAACACATGCACACACACAAGCACACGCACTCACACACATGCGCGCGCGCGCACACGCACACACACACACACACACACACACACACACGGTGTGTGTACGTGATGGGGCACAGACAGAGCCAAGGAGGGGAATTGGCATCTACTGAGCACTTATTCTGGGGCAGACATTGGGTCTAACACTTAATGTACTTCTCATTTAGTGCTTAAAACATCTGGGTGAGGATTGTGTGCTAACAACAATAAACAAACTCCTGCCCAGGGCCCACTGCCCTACATGGTCCGGGCTCCGTATACCTGTCCAACTTAATCTCGAGCTAATCTCCCCATCACTTCCTAAACTGCCACACTGATCGTTTTTCAGTTCTTTGAACAGTCCACTCCAAGCTCTTTCCCACACCTCAGGGCCTTTGCACATGCTGTCCCACCCTTTGGGAATGTTCTGTGTGGCAGCATCCTTCTGCTCTCACACGCTGAGAGGCCTTCCCAGACCACTCTAAAGCAGATCTCTCCATATCTTCTCTAGTTAACCAGCCTATTTGTTTTCAAAGCATGTTGGCAACTGTTTCATTTATTTGATGCTGTACTTGTGTTTTGTTTTTCTGGCTTCCCTAGAGATGGACAGTTCCTTAAGGTTAGGGACCCTATTTATTTTGTTCATTGCACTATCCCTGGCACCCAGTACAGTGCCACACTCAATAAAACAGTTCCTAAATAATTCATTTTAACAGAAGGCAACTGGGACTCAAAGAAATGGCTTGTCCAAAGCCAAACAGCTTGCAAGCCACAGAGCCATGACTTGAACAAGGCCTGACTCCCAGGCTTATGATCTCTGCACAGGAGCTGGGAACATGTTCAGGGTCAGCTTCTCCCTTTTGCCCCCCACCTACCCCGAGCCCATTTGACCATCTCCCTGCAGGAGGGCTAGCACCAGGGTAATGTAAGGCACTTGCCCCAGGCACAAAACTTAAGGGGATGCCAAAAACTCAGTAATCAAGAAAAATAACATTTAAAAAATCAAAATTCATGCCAAAAAAAATTCACGAACAAAATATCAAAATTTTAAAGACAGGATCCAGTCCCAAACCTGCAGGACCCAGCCTCATCACCTTACCCAAATCCCGGTCCTGCTGGATCCTCTCTTTATTCTAAAAGCTGATACTCTGTTCATTATGAAGTTTTTACATTCATTTTTATCTAAAAATATTACACTACCATATTATTTATCTTGATTATTAAGTTTCTGGCTGTCCCTTGAATGCTGTGCCCCACGTGAGTGTCTCACTTGTCTCATGCCAGCCCCCGCCCTGCTCAGCAGGCCGGTGGCCCTGGCTCCCACAGGCAGCTGCCTGAGGCCCCGTGGACACACCAGGTGCCATGCCTACCGGGGAAGAGTCTGGGAGCCAGGTATGAGGGCTCCAGCACTGCAGACACCCTCGGAGGCTGTTCAGCCACTGCTCTCAGCTGGAGACTGGGAATAGCCAGATTGGTGCACCTGCCCTGGGGACTTCCTCCCCGCTTGTCTTCCTCCTTAGAGTCTAGGAAAGGAAGAAAGTCCCAGCCTCTCAGTGTCGCTGCATTGAGACCCTCATGCCCTTCTCCAGGGCAAGCTGAGAGATGTGCCTTCCTTTCTTGTCTCAGGACCAGCTACCTTCTTGCACTTTCTCCTTCCCCCGCCAATTGGGAGGAGGAACAGGAAGAAGAGAGGGTAGGGCACAGAGGACCCATGGTATTCGCCCACCCAGCACCCATTCCCCCTCTGGCAACAGCATCTCAGGATCCCCTGGACCACCATGCCTTCCTTCTTCCCTTCTGCCAGGGCTGCTAAGCTGGGAGGAGGAAAAGGACGCTGCCTGAGCCACCTGGTGAGGGCCTGCCTGTGAGCGAAGCCAACAGAGAGGCAGACAGAGCCCAAAAGCTGAAGCACTGGCTCCTAATAGCGTAGCTTGAGCAGACAGATCCAGACCTGCCTGGGCCTGAGATTTTCAGGTACTCAAGTTCCCCCAAATCCCTCTGTTGCTGAGGTCAGGTTAAGCTGGGGTTTCCATCACTTGCAACCAACAGAGTCCTGAAACTCCTGGACAGCCCTGCCCCTGCCCAGTGCATATTCACCTCCTTCTTCATCAGTTTGAGCTCCTCTTGGAACCTGGTGTACTCGCGATCCTGCTCCAGGCGGATCCGCTTGGCCTCCTCCCGACGGCGCGTGGCATGGTCTTGCTCCATCTTCTCCACTTGTTGCTTTTGCTGACGCTCCAGGTTTTCCAGCTCTGTGTCAAAAAACTTCTTCTTGGCCTAGAAAGAGCAGAAATTCAGAGAAACTCAGCAAAGTCACTTTATACCTGGGAGGAAGATGGAGAATGGAATAGCAGAGAGTTCAGAGCCTGTACTCAGCCCTGGGTTTGAATCCCAGCTCTACTATCTCTTTGCTGTGCGACCTGGGGTAAGTTACTTAACTTTTCTGAGTCTCCATTTCCTCATCTGCAAAAGGGAGACTAGACCATCAACCCTGCGGGGTTGTTGTATGGTGTTCACCAAAGCTTATTTCCCCTCTTGAGGTCCTTCTGTGTGACACAGAGGATCACTGTGACCTGCATGCCATTTTGTGTTTACAAGTCACGGCCTAATGAGATTGGGAAACCACAGGAATTGGGTAATTATCATGAATTTCTCTCACTGCCCAATCATTCTCACTCTGCAACTTCCACTTAAAGAAAACATGGAGGTAAGACACTCTCTAGGATCCCATCTTTTCTCACGCTTACATTGACTTCTTGTTCAAAACGTTTGTGCATTTGCTCCAGCTGCAGCTCATGCTTGCTGCTCAGTTGGGTCTGGTTCCGATGCTCTTCTTTCTGGAGCAGCCGAAGTTCTCGAAGTTCCTGGCGCCTGAAGGGTTAAAGATGCACACATTTCACAGTGAGAAAGTGGTCTCAGAGATCACACTACTCACAGGTTGGGACACTGAGGGCTGGATCATGGAACAGAATCACACAAATCTTGGGCAGAGGCACAACTAGAACTCAGGCTTCATCTGACATTTATTGTCAGACAAAACAATAATCTTAATATGTAAAGAGTACTTACAAATCAATAAAAGAGAAATATCCTAAACCAAAAAAAAAAAAGTGGCACAGAACATGAACAGATATGAAACAAAAGACAAAAACAGATTTTAAAATTATCTATATGGACATGAAATGGAAATTAAAAAGAAACAAACTAAATAGTAAAATAGTATAGGAGAAGTTGATATTTTCATATATTGCTGATGGGTATAAATTGTTACAACATTTCTGGAGGACTTGGGCATTAAGTTTATGCCTTTTGACATAGTAGTTCCATTTCTGGATATCAACTGTAAAGAAATATTTATAGAAGTACAATACCATTGAATAAGGATATTTGTAACAATTTCATTTATAACAGTACAAAATTAGAAACAAATGTCCATCCATATAGGTCTAATAAATAAATTAAAATATATCTATATGATGAACTTCTATACAACTATTAAAAAATCCAGTTTTAGAAAATACCTAATTAAATGGGAAAACATCTATTAAAAATACAACAGTTCTTTATGAATAGATATGGAATGATGTCTAAGTGAAAAGATCAAAATGTTGAAGACTGGGTCTATTATGCTACCCTATCATCTGGGTGAAAAATAAAAAAAAAGACAATATATGTCTGTGTACATATGTATGTGTGTTTGCTTTCCTGTTCAAACACTGAGTATTTCTGGAAGAATTACACCATAAAATATTAACACAGGGAACTGGATGCCTAGCAAGAAAGTGAGGGAGAGAGATTTTTCATGGTCCACTGGTTCCTCTTTTTAAAAATTTTGAACCATAACATTAAATTACCTATTCAAAAAATAAATACAATAAAAATTTGACCTAAACCACATAGGATACCTTAACTTGGTAACATACACACTGCCACTGTGTGTGTACTCACAGAAAAAATACCGGAGGAATAAGCCCCAGAGAGGGTTAACCATGTTTCTTTCCAGGCAAGTCCACTAACAATTGATATGTATCGTTTATGTAAAATCAGAAAAGAAAAGGAAAAGAAATTTAAATGCTGCAGACAGAAGTTGGGCCTCCTGACTGTGAATAGGGGGCCCCCCGGTAGCCCCTTGGGATTGGGGTCCCCAAGGCCTGTGTCCTATTCTAGTCCGGCACCTGCCATCTGCACTGGGATGACTCCCACTGCGAGGCCGCACTCCGACCCAGCCGGCCCCCCTCGCGGCTCTGAGGGGCTGTGACGACTCTCAGAACCGCCTGCCAGGCGCTGAGGAGAGACCAGCAGTGCCGCGTGGCCGAGCACATTTTCTGGGGTCAGAGGGGGTTTGCTGGACTCAGCTCTGCTGACTTCCCAGCCGGGTGCCATCGGGCAGTCACTTGATCTTTGTGGGCCTCTGTTCCCTCATCTGTAAAATGAGGTAAATAATCTCTACCTCTGAGGTCTTCAAGGGACATGTGAGATGACACATGTAGAGTGCCTACTTGGCGTGTGGCACATGCTCCATGAGCTGCAACTGCTCCAGTGACGATGAGGAAGAAGAAGCAACGGTGGCCCGTGTGTCTGGGAAAAGCCAGAGACACTTTCTAAAGCCACATAAGGAAGCTTCTGAATGAGCCTCTGCTTTTCAGGAAAGCAAGAAGCGAGAAGGAGATTTTTCCAGAGTGTTAAAGAAATGGAAATCCAGACTCAAGAGAAACTAAGGTTCAGAGAACAACCGACAAAAGACAAAGGAATACAGGAAGAAGGTGGCAGCCAGGTGCTAACATCCCCACCCCAGCCCACCTGAGTCCTCACAGCGGAAGGCAGGTGAGGAGACAGGCTGACGGCTCCAGAAGGAAGGAACGGCACAGGCAATTTCAGGAGGAACTCTGAGCAAGAAGCCTCACTCCAAGAGGGATAAACACTGTCACATGGTTTGAAAGCCTACATGGGACCCAATCTTGCAGAGATGCTGGGATCCAGGTATGCCCACGGGCATGGGCCAGTGGGGAGTGATCAGAACCTTCTACAAGCCTGTAGCCTGGTGGCCTGGCCTGGTTGACAGGATGCTCACACTTCCAGACCACACAGGCCAATAAAACCAGCCTGTTTCTTTATGAGCACCTCCTTCTGTCACTCCTCCAAGTCTCACCTTTCCAACCTGAGCAGCACACAGCAGCTCTGCATGGGAGGGTGGGGGCTCAGTGACAGGGCTAGAGGGCATTGCTTCTCGATGGGGTGTGGCAAATCTGTAATCTCAACCCTGGGAACCTGAACTTCCCAACGGGGAGGTGACAGAAACCCAGCCCTTGAGGTCTAAACATCCAGGGCACATTCCAGGTGACCATTAAAACAGAAGGCGGTGTCATCTGCCAAGAGCAACCACTCCCCTAGCCTCCCCAAAACACACATATAGCACCAATATTTGTGTGTGTGTGTGCAGAAACACCTCTAATGAAAAGTCTGTCTCTCATGCCCCTGGCTCCTAGAGGACAGAAGTGTCCTAGAACATCCCAAACTGCTTCTATTTGGCTTTGGAATGTTTGTGCTTTGTAAAAATATGAATGTGTTTGATGGGCTAGAAATTTTTTCCAAACTAATAACGAATTTGTCCTGTAATGGCCTGGCCCCAGGGGAGCTCCATGGTTCTGAGGCTTCCTTAACTGCTAAGCTTCCCCAACCCCTCCCAGCAGCCCCCAGGAAGCTATATGGTCCAGTGGAAACCTGGAGGAATTTACACACAGACAGACCCAGTTAGCATCTCAGCTGTACCCCTTCCCAACTGGGAAACCCAGGGCAAGTAACTTACCTGCCAAGAAACACTGTTTCCTCATTAACAAAATGTGGAAATAGGGTCTCCCTAAGGAGGACTGTTAAGGGGACCAAGCAACCAAAGAGTGCAGAGATGGCTCCTGGCAAATAGCTTTGTCTTACACCCTCCTCCCCAGCCCAATACCGCACCAGCCCCACTGGTTTTGCCTCCAAAACGTAGGTTGACTCTGAGCACTTCTTCTCTCTTCCTGGCCACTGTCCCAGCCTGAACCCACAGCTGGATCATCTGGACAGGACCTGCACTTCTTCTCTCTTCCTGGCCACTGTCCCAGCCTGAACCCACAGCTGGATCATCTGGACAGGACCTCCTGTTTCCCTGTGCTAGTCTTGCCCCCTCTGCAGCCCAGGCTTGTACAGCAGCCAGAACAATCTTTCAAAAGGGATGTTCAAGCAGGTCACTCTCCAGCTGTTTCACTCCTGCTGTACCTGGAATAAACCCATTCTTCCACCCCGACCCACAGGCCTACATAACCTGGGTCCCGCCACCTCACAGACCTCCTCACTACCCTCTCCCTCTGACCTTACACTCCACACTCCAGCCCGGTCCTCTCGGTTCCTTAAACAGGCCGAGCGGTTATTCCTCAGAGCATCGTAGCCCTCTGTGCTCCCCCAGCTCTTTGTGGGGCCTGCTCCTCTCACCTTCAGGCTCAGCTCAGGGGGTTTCCCTTGGAGCAGCCTGTTCCCCAGCCCAGTCACTCATTATCACATCACCCGTCACTTCCTGCACAGCACGTACCACAATCAGGAATTATCTTGTGTATTGTGTGTTGGCCTATTAGGTGTAAGTTCTACAAGGGCAATGGTTTCATCTATCTGGGTCAACAACCTGTCCCCAAACCTGGTAGGTGGGCAGATACATGGGTCATGGATGGATGGGCAGATGGGTAGAGGGGTGAACAGGTAGATGAATAGGTGGATGGCTGGAGGGATGACGGGAGGGATGAGTGGGTGGATGGATGGGTGAATGGTGGGTGGGTGGATGGATGGACGGCTGGGTGGAGAGATGGATAAGTAGATAGATGGACAGATGGGTGGGTGGGGGGATAAATGGAGGGAAGGGTGGATGGATGGAAGGATGGTTGGGTGGATGGGTCATCTGGTATATGGATGAGTGAATAAATGGATGAAATAGATGGGTGGATGGATGGGTAGATGGATGAACAGATGGGTGGATGGATGGATGGCTGGAGACGCGCAGGATCTCAAGGAAAACAGTTTCCTTTTGTCTTCTTGGTCTCCCACTTCATGTGGTAGACAGACAGACAGTCTTCTCACCAAAAGAACAAAGACCCATCCCTCCCACCACACTCCCACCCTGTTACCGCCATCGACGACCCCTCCCAGGCTTGCCTGAGAAATCTCATCTCCTCGTCTTTCTTCTCATCTTCGCTGATGATCTTGGAAGTGGTGATGCTCACCTCTACACCATCCACCACAAATTTTCGTGTCCGCTTGAGGGTTTTATTGTGCAGCCTTGAATCCTGGCCAGGGAAAATCATTAGGCAGAGCTCAGCATTTCAGTCAAGAATCCATGGCTGACACAGAGGTGAGGCCCATAGCCCTCCTGGCCCCACAACCCCAGCCCTACCCGGGGAGGATGGAGTTGTCCATCGTCCCTCTTGCCTCAAGCTTCTCGGCCTGGGGACCCGAGTGTCTGAGTTTATCCATTTTCCTCTCCCTGATCTCAGCCTTAGACACTGCCCTGGGCCTCCGCCACTTCTCCACCAGGACTCTCATGTGTACAGGATATGGCATCAAAAAGAGCTGGGTTCTGGGCCGGCCCGGTGGCGCACTGGATAGTGCACCGCTTGGGAAGCGCAGCGGCGCTCC